GCAACTGGGCAAACTGCAGTACCTGGGGCCTGTAATTATAGGGAGACCTAGGTTTTTGGAGGGGATTTCAGAGAAACTAAGGGCGGTTTGTTGGAAGATAAGGCTGTTAATCTAAAGGTTGATGATAAAGGAAGGGATCGGAACAAAAAGGGAGGGGAATGGAACCTGGTAACAAATAAAAAATCCCACGCAAAGAAGCAGTCTTCACCAAAACAACAGAACACAAGTGTTAGACGAATTGACTTCAATGTTGGTTCCAGCTCAAATGCCTTCGAAGCTCTTGCTAATGCTGGGGACCCTGAGATCGATGAACGGGTATACATGACAGTAGGATGTCCAAACAATTAGTGCCTATGCCCAGTAATGAACGAGGAGGGCAAGGCAGTCACGATTTGATTGAAAAAATGGGCGTTCGACGAAATAATTCAAACAACAATTTGAGGAATGAACTACTGGGCATCCAAGCTCACAGTTCCAATGTTCCAACACTACATTTTTCCAATCCTCAGGAAGAACAAATAATCAAAAATGCTCAGAATGAAATGATGAGGAACTCCACGTTGGTTAAACAGCCTTTGGTAACATTAAACACTTCTGTGTTCGATGTTCCCTCACAATCAGTGGAGTCTTTTGGTGACTTTGAAGGTGAATTGGGACAGTTAATGTTGTCAATTAGGAATACCAATGAGGTTATAAAAGCAAACATGAGGGATATGGCTATTAATTCCAAGCTGTGGAATGACCAACGGGAGGAAGATGATGATGATGAGGACTGGTTAGATGGTAATGCCGGATATTCGTCAGAAGAAGCAGACAAAGAGGAGGATCATGATAGTGCTGGTGAAGACATTGATTCAACAACATTGTCAAAGCATAAGGGTGCAGCAAATACCAGGAGCAAATTGAATTTAAATGCTCCTGAGTTCATCCCCAGAAACTCCATCTGCTGCTAGTCAAAAAACAGTAGCTGGAAGTTTGGATCACAAAGCTGCAACAAATATCGAGCTGCCCAGTCCAATTGGTACCTCAAGTCAAAAAACAGAATCATGTACACCTCTGTTGCAGCAGCAACAATTCACATCAAGTACTGGAGCTGGTTTTCAAGTTGGAGATCGAAAATCAGCAGCAACAATAGAAGTTGGGCAACAACAAATTGTCACAACCAACACAGTCATTTCTGCAGAGGAAAGAAAGCTACTGGATGCAATAGTAAGTGCAAAACCTGTGAATTCTTTAAATAATATTGCTGGTAGCACTGGTTGTGAGAGTAGAAGCAGGAACAAAATACAACCAGTAGAAAAAACACAACACAAGACAACATTGGCTAAACTACAGGAAGGTAACACAATGGTAACACAAGGGTGTGATCAATATATGCCAAATCCGGATATTGTGGGCAGAGATTTATTTGTAGAAGGGGAGGAAGATGATATGCTAACTCAATGCCGGGCAGAAGCAGCAAGAAAAGGTGATTTATCACCTATGCATAGCAGAAAAATTAGGAAGTCTCGCACAAGGAATAAAAGTTGGGACGGCAGGGTAAACGAAGATGGAAACATACGGAGACTCCCAATGAGAATTGCAAAACAAAAACAGGTCACTCAAACAACATCCACAAAGTCCAATCGTTCAAAAAAAAAATCATGAATTTTGAAGACATTTTGAAAAGGGTCGATGGAGAAGACAAGAGTCTACAAGTTGAAGATTTCACAAGATTAAAGAAGAGAGATCATCACTGTTATTTCTACATCTTTTTATTCTACCATCACATTAGTATAGTTCTATGTAATATCATCACAGAGTATGTTATAAACTCTGTGATGATCATAGAATATTTAATTCTAGCTAGTTCCTTCTTTTTACATGCATGTTAGTAGGTGAGGCTTTTTATTTGCCTCAATTGGATTAGTAAGGTAAAGTTTAGCCCAGTACATGTTGCTCTAGTCATATGCCTTTGGAAAGATATCCAAATGGCTATGAGATTATATGCCCTCGTGAGACTTTGCTGGCAGCTACACCATGATTCCTCTACATGAGGTTGCCATAAGGGCAATGTGAGGCGCAGAGGAGTGATTATATAGCCAAGGCATAGAGGCAACACTACTGGTGCTATTGTCCCCCTTATTTGTACTCTTCCTATGTGGTTCTTTTTTCCTTTTAGTTATTAATAAAACTAGCCCTAGGCAACTGCCTAGTAGATTTGCTTAAAAAAAATTGTGAATTATGTTTCTTCATAAAATCTCTTTCAAATAGAAATCATATTAAATAAAAGGAGTATTTTAAGTAAAATATCAAATTATAAAATTGAAATTCTTTCGAGACTTATTACTCCTTAAGAGATACATATAAGATTTCTTATCAAATACATTACTTTTGATGTTTGAGTTGTAACGACGTTGCAACTAATTTGCATATTATGATATATGTCATACTTTTCGTATTATTCATTGTTGAGTTATAATTTATAAATATTTTGAATAGACTATTTGTTATAATTTTGTGATTTTGATGTAATTTTTATAATTATTTTTTATTTTGTACTATCTTAAAATTCTTGAAATTAGTAAAATTGAAAGATCCGTGGGACTTACCCATATCTCAAGGCTTACACCTCACCTCGTCAGAGGTAAAACGCTTCGCCTCTCGCCCCGCCTTTGAAAACATCAATGCAGAGAACTCTGAAAATGGTTGCTTCCATCGATGGGAGAGGAAACCAAAAGGGTGGACCAAAATTAAAGCCACGTGTGTATACAATAGGACACCACAAGCCAGAGTAATTTTACCAATTTGGCCTTCGTCGTACACAAAAGCTTCACTTATTATATAGTTTAAGTTTAATTTAAAGTGAGATCGGGTAAAGTAATAGTATTATCTTAAGTGAAATATGATGTTTTATAATCTCTTGACTTCAAATACTGCATATTACATGTTCCTAAAAAATTTATTTTGTGCCTCACACAACTGATGCTAATTGTGTGAGGCCTACTTTTTGTCTCACAATTTTATGGTCCCAGAATTTTATGGACCCAAATGTGTAAGATATGGGTCCACAAATATGTGAAATAAAAAGAGGTCTCATACAATTAATTTCAATTGTGTGAGACACACCATAAAATCACTCCATTTTCCTGGGATAATACAAGGATTGACAATTGTAATTTCTCTTTATGGCACTTTTATACTCTAATGGTATTGATAGGTATATGATATATATTTTTTTGCTATAGTGCATTCATGATTATCACGACCTCAATTTCCCTTCGTAGATTGTCGTGACGGCACCTAGTCTCTAAGACTAGGTAAGCCTAACAAACATGCGGAAATGACTAAAACTATAATTTAAAAATCTCAAAACCCAACATATATATAAAGAAAGATCTCCACAACTCAGTGTATATACAATATCTTAAAATCCGGCATAATACAAGTCACAAGCTCTATGACAATATCAGACTCATCCCTATACACTGCATCTAGTAAAGAAGGAAAATATAGAGCTGGATAGAAGGGGACTCCGAGGCCTGCGAACACGGGCAGGTTTACCTTGAAGTCTCCAAATGCGAACTCAGCTCACTAGTACCGGGACTTATAGAAGGTACCTGGAGTTGCACAAAAGGATGTGCAGAAGCGTAGCATGAGTACATCACAACGGTACCCAGTAAGTGACAAGCCTAACCTCGGTAGTGTAGTGACGAGGTCAGGTCAAGGACCTACTGGAAATAATAAGAAACAGGATGAAAGATTTAACAATGTGATAATAATGACAATGAAAACGAAACAAGTAAAGAGTAAGCCAAAAGTTAACTACACAGAATCAAGGCAATTAATACATTACAGAAGGAAACAAGGATTTACAAGTTAAGAAAACAAAGCAACCAAAGATAGTACAAAAAATAGAGAAAAGATCAACAAGGGTCACTACATAGGTTCCGCCTGGTAACCCCAAGTCACAAGAATAACTCACAATCTTTCCTTATATCACCGCGGGAGCCTTTACATTTAGTTTTGAAAATTCTTTTTCCGAAATAGCATCTCGCGTTTTAGCTCACCTTGTTACACCGCATGACGTCTAGTAGTTCCCCTACTAGTCAAGCGTATCAAACCCGCCTTGTCTCACCTCGTGGATTTCAACCTCAAAACCTTATACCACTGCATGCGTATCAATATCACAACGTATCACAAATCACACCTCAAGTTCTCAATATCACTACTTGCCAGAGAAACCAAACAATAACAAAATTTTACAATAATGAGCCCACGGCTCAACCACAATGTACACAAAGTCTCAACAATAACAACCGGAAGTGAATAACTCAATAAAATGATATTTCACAACTTAACACTTTGCCTCAATAGGAATCACGACCTTTATAACTTAATACCAGTTTCAACAACAAGATAATTAAAGAATAGCAACTTCAAGTAAGGAGTTCAACAGTTAAATAAGGAATACGAAATAAAGGAAACAAGAACTTCACTAAACATGTAGGGCAATTATCACTACAGGAAAATAGGTCTTTAACGATGGGAAATCCGGTCGTTAAAACTCCAAATCCGGTCGATATCAGTTAATTACGATGGGGTAAAAACCGGTCGCCGCTGGTCATTAGTGCCTCTGTCGTTAAAGGTAAACGACCGGATTTTAATCCCATCGTAAAAACTCTTTTAACGATGGCAAGGAATCCAGTCGTTAAACCAACATTAGCGAGGGGATTTTCCCATCGTTAAATATCGTCCCAGTCGTTAAACACTTCACTAGCAATAGCCAATTTTCAGTCGTTATTAGTGTTTGGCGACCGGAATTCCATTTGTTAGTTGTATGTACTTTCACGACATGCTTTTCAAAAACCAAAATTTTCCTTTGGTAATGTGAGACTTAAATTAATAAACATATTATACACATTCAACATGATACAAAGAATGAAGTCAATATTGACATAAAACAATCTTTTTTAATTATAAACTACTAAAGCATCTTTGAGTAGCAATAATATATTACATCCAATTGCATCGTCCTTTTTTTTCAATTCCTTAAAGAAAACAGAAAATTAAAGAGATATAGTAGTTTGTACAGATGACGACAACTCCTAATAAAACAAAATAGATTTCCATTGTTCTTCAACAATTCCAGCTGCTAATTCAACTTGCTCGGAATTATCTTTAAGGATGATTCTTCAAACTTCTTCAGGCCTTTTATCTGTTAAAAATGGCTCATATTAGTTGAGTAAGAAAACAAAATTTAATATTGGTAAGTTGCTACCACACAGTAAAATATAAAACCACGAAGCGAAGAACATTTCAAAATACTATAAACAAACAATGCTTCTTATAACAACGTTACTAAATCCAACATTAAGAGTATCATGAAACGTATTACAAATGCTCGCCAACAGTATAATAGCCATAATATTGGGAGCAAATGATATCATACAAAAAAGTATTACTATTCCCTCCTTTTGCACAATGGTGCTTCTCTCTTCATAACACTCCATTAACACTGCAATCTCATTAACTGTTCTTTTAAATATTTTTTTTCAACGATCTCAAACGGAAAAGTGTAAGAAGAAAGCAAGAGTGATCACATACAAGCAAGATCGATAAACAAAGTAAAACAAACACATTTTTTCGAAGAAAATAACAAACAGATTCATAAGAAGGTCCTGAAACATTTACATGGAAACAAGATAACTAAAATAATTAAGATGAAAACAACAATTCCTAGACTATGTTTTTCACTTGTAAGAACCTTAGAAAATGCTCACCCAGAAAATATATAACAACTCGTTATCTCGGGTTTCATTTGCACGACTCAAAATCACCACATATATCTTGTTTAATATGGGGTTATCCTTTTCATGCCCACTTGCCTCTCATAGTGATTTGGAAACTTTCCTTGAATCTGTCATTGTGAAATCTATTGATTTTGGATACGATGAGGGAAAGACGCCACTACGATCAGTTAGCTTCAAGAGCAAAGATACAGAACCAACAATATTGCGATCAGATGGCTTTGGAAAGATGTCGATAGAAAAAACTGTCAGCTTTAGGACAATGGGAAATGCAATGGAGTTCAGTAAAACTTCATCAGAAGAGAAGCACGAGTTTAACGAGTTTCGTAGGTTAGACAGCATGAACGGAGTCTCTGAAATCTCCTCTAGTATATACTAAGAGTCCCAAACATGAGGCAGCTTTAAAGTTGCAGAAAGTGTACAAGAGATTTAGGACTAGAAGAAAAGTAGCAGACAGTGCTGTACTTATAGAGCAAGACAGCTATTAGATTTGGCAGAACTCAAACATAGTTCTATTTCATTTTTTGATCTTGATAAACACAACACAGCTGTTTCATGTTGGTCGAGGGCAAGAACTAGAGCAGCCAAGGTAAAATTTGGGCATATCATTTATGCTTCTGAAAGTTAATGCAAGATGGGAAACTCTTCTACAAGATAGTAAAAGATACAAAACTGTGAATTTGGTCCACATGAATTTGCATCTTTTAGCTTGCCAGGCACATATAATATTATATGTTCAAACAATGAATCTGAGATGCACATATCTAATTGGATTATTAGAGTAACTATACATATATCAAGGTCAGTACTTTATTTAACTAACAATAAAAGATTTCACTAAATTCATTTAAGGATATTCATCATGTAAAAATAGGTAGAAAGCTTACGCACCTGTTAAATACTTCAACTTGTACTTTGTTAGACTTGTAGATGGTGCTGATGAAGGTTGATCAACCAGTAAGCTTATAAGATGATCATACTTAGACTCAAAGTCGTCCATACGTTTTTCCAGAGATTCTTTTCCTTTTTTAGTTGCATTCTGCTCGGTCTGTAGTGATTCTTTTTCTTTTCGAGTTGCATTCAGCTCAATCAGTATTGCAGCCTTTGAGGAGCTACCGCCTTTCAACTCCTTAGTGGTTATACCACCCCCTAATCCAACCATATGACTCTTGTTTTGAGGTCCGAAACACCTTTCTATTACCTCGATATTCGTAAGAGCTGGCTCAGATTGTACCATCTCTTGTATTTCAGCCTATAAAATACAAGAAAATTTGAAATAACAAAATACATAAAAATAAAATAAAGGATGTAAAATGAAGTTCATCAATAAACATACATATTTTTTACTAGCTTCAGGTTCTACAAGCGTGTCGTTTCTCTTGTGAGTCTCAAAGAAGATAGTCCCCATGTTCGGTGGATTACCGTCTTTGCCTCCCTTCAAATTGAAATAAACAAGTCAAACAAAGACATTAAACACTGCCTGAAGATCCCTCATCAGCTGCCTCAGTAGTGCTGGACTGCAAGGCTTATTAATAATAATTTCAATCACCAAGTTAATTGTAATTGCTACTATCCTCAGGTGTTACGGATAAGCTGCAGCATTCCCTAGACATCAAATCTGGGATATTATGCCTACTTTGTATGTTTTAAAAAAGGTGTTTTGCATATTAAATAAGAGAGAGGAGATTGATGAACTTATAAAGCTCTAATTTATGCCTCCCTTGTTGCATCTAGTTGTAAGAAAGAGATGAAAGAGACATAAGGTAAATATAGCCATTAAGGAAAATTCAGGATCATATGGAGCTACATGGATGCAGACTACTTCAATCTGACTCTACCAAAAGCCAGCAATTATGACATGCATTAAGCTATGAAATCACGGAGCACTGAAACTAAAGTAAGCAGCAAGTGATCTACTGCAGCAGAACATTGCCATCAAGAAAGATATACTGTCATGACAATTGCTGATTAACAGGAGAGTGGTAATAGCTAGCCCTATGAAGGTAAAAGATGTCGAGCAGAAGACTAGATCACCTCAAGTTGAAAAACAGTAAAAAGATCCCATGCAGAAAATTTATATAGTACCGGTCAAGTCCTTTACTTCCATATTATTCTATTGCAATTTTTTTTAGAATTAGTAATTGTGTAACATTTCTAAAGCAAACATATAAAATCAAAACCAATAAAGCAAACAGTGTAGCTTGCAGTTCAAGGTGCAAAAATTAAACTGGAAAAAGCACTCTTCAGCGAATATGAATCGGATTGCAATGTGCACTTACCAGCTCGTAAATAATTTCTCTAATCGGCTTGCTACCCGTACGATGAGGCATTCTCAAGTTAGACCTATTGATCGAGTTTCTAATACTTGTTTCCTATATTAAGAACAAACCATTGAAATCATGAACTGTTACTTACAATAATAAGAAGTTAAAAAGTAGTTATGAAGTCTTACCTTAAATTTTTCACTTAAAAAATGTTCCTTTACCAATCATTCCCAATCACTCTTGTCTACCTCCTTCGGGACATCCTTTAGAGCTTCATGCAATGGCTTAAACTTCACATACCTGTGCAATGATCCTCTCCAATTGGTCCATAACTTATTCATATGGTTTAAGACATGATCTCTTTGATGATTCATGTCATCACTGTCAAATTTGTCCTACAATATTTTGCAAAATCATCAATCAAAAAAGGAAAATTGAAACGGAGAAGTTACACCTGATCCCCTTTTATAAGGTACTTTATTATTTTGACTTTAGGCTTTGCAGGATTCAAATAGTAACTGCATCTGTTATTCTCTGAAAGTTTCTAAGGATAAAGCGAAGAAAGGAGAAAACAAGAGCTAAAGAGAAGGTTGATGTGTTGTAGAAGAGTAGAAGCTGTAGGCCACTTCCAACCTCTTGGTGGTGGATTGGGATATCCATTACTAATTGAACGTTTTGAAAAAGAAGTAACACAGGAAAGAAATCTTAACCTTTACTCTTTTCTGCTTAAATATCAAGCTTTTGTCACATGGGACAGTTAGAACATATAACATGCGCCTAATTCATGTATCACAAGTTGTACTCTTACCAGTGAACCAAAGCCCGGAGATCCTTTTGCAGCCAAGTGAGCTTTGATTTCAAGCTTTTGAATGTGAAAGTCTGAAACTAATTGATCTATCTTAAAGCATACAATAAAGTATCTCTAAAGATCAAGAAGCAACCAAGAAACATTGCATCTTTTGTGACATCTTTTTCCTTATCACTAACTTTAGTATTCCTGTACCACTTACAGCAATATGTTGTTCTTTTTTTCTCTTTTAACCCAAGTAAAAGTACAACAGAAGAAAAATGGTACAACAGGAAACTATACATAGTATGCCATGATAAAAAACTGGTACCATATGCCTGGAACTAAAGTATAATGTCAGACTTGGATCCTCTCACTTAAAATGGATAATTCAAACTAAGACATTTTTAGTGGCAGAGAATAAAATTATAATTTTGAAGGCAGAATAAGATTCCAACCTTGAATAACATCAGCAATGTATAAGTCGCAAAGTATATAGACACTCAAAGACAATATAGGATAGAAGATCTGAATTGCAAAGGACAAAATAATTCCATGAGTTAGCCTTTCCATGTAAAAGCAGTAAGCCTATCCAAACCATCAAACTGAATGTAAAGACTAGAAGACTATAGCAGATACAGAGTGGCATCAATATAAGGAACTCGGCGACATATCAAAGTCTCCTTAATTCAGAGGAGTAAAGCAAAGATCCTAATGAGGTAAATTGGAAAAGGGTGGCACCAAAAAAGTAAAAGAAATGCCAGCTTTTTCTGCATGCGGCAGATGAAAAGTTTGGTGTTCATTTGCTATTGAAGTTGATGAATAAACTAAACCTATTATGCAATCATCAATTTACTTGTCCTCCATCACAAGATAGTCTGCTAACTCATAAACTTGAACATGATCCAGAACTGCCAGAAAATCAGAGAAATGCAACAAGCAGTCTTCAACCATGCTAATATTATGCCAGTATACATAAAAGTAATAGAAGAAAAATTTCTCGTTAAGCTAATTTTGACTGCTAAATGCACAAAAAACACACAAACACGCACAAAACCCCCATTTATTTTGCACACTTAACAGGTCATAGCAAATGTAAGATGAAACTATCCATAGAAATGCAAGACCCAAGTATCAAAAAAACAAAGAACGGACAAAAAAGACAAAGACCCAAAAACAAAGAAAGTATTGCTTTAATAGTGGTTTAAATACTTACCGTAACAGCTCGCCACATGTGTTCCAGCTTATCTTCTCCGATGTCCTTCCATGAATGTACTTGCAACGGACACATATTACGATCACGAACTAATATACCCAAGTGTCTCGAAAATGAGGCTTGATGCTTTCCAACAACCCGATTGTTGTAAAAGTTAACTCTAAACTTTTCTCCGGGTTTGAGTCCTGCTACATCTTTATTCTTGTTCTTTCCTCTCACCTTTTTTGGCTTTTCAGGTTCACATAAATCTGCAAATTTGTAACATAAAATAAATTCCAGTCTTATAACAAACTAAAAAAATATTAAACTTGAGACCTTGCATCATTTCATCTTCTTGAGCGAGGGAAACATCATCTTCCATCGGATCGAAACTAGGAGGCATAAGATTAGTACTATTATGTGCTTGCTTATTCTGCTCGGAAGCTGCTGAGTTGTGATTTTTACTTTCGCCAACCAGATTTCTCTTTCCAACGCTTCCTTTTGCCGAGCTCGAAGATCTTAAGTTTTGCCCACATCCCTTGCTAAAGCACTAGGTTGACTGTAAGTGTCTCGTACATTCTTCAAAATAGCTCCAACTTCTGCAAATTTTGATTTGAGTAAAGCATAAAATAACTTCTAGTCTTATAATATACAAAAATTAAATAATTAAAACTTGAGACCTTGCATCATTTCAGCTTCTTAAGTGAAGGGAATGTCGTCTTCCATGGTATTAAAACCAGGAGGTATAAGATTATTACCACTATGTGCTAGCTTATTCTGCTTAGAAGCCCCTGAGTTGTAATTTTTAATCTCGCCAATCAGATTTTTTTTGCCAATATTTATCTTTGCAGAGCCCAAAGATCGAAAGCTTTGCCCTCGTCCCCTTGCTAAAGCCGCAGGTTGAATGTATGCATGATGTACATTCTTCAAAGCTGCTCCTGTTTCTGCAAATTTTGATTTATGTATGGACGAAAAACCTATAATAGTCCAATAAGAAACAAAACAAAAAATAAAAATTATAACTTAAGAGACCTTGTATCGCTTCGGGGTCTTGAGCGAGGGGATCATCCTCTTCCATCGAAGCAAAACCAGGGGGCACAAGATTATTAGTATGTGCAGGCTTATTCTGCTCAAAAGCTGTTGAATTGTGATTTTTACTTTCTCCAATCAGAGTTCTCTTTCCAATACTTGTTTTTACAGAGCCCAAAGATCCAAAGTTGTGTCCCCTTCCCCTTGCTAAAGCACCAGGTTGAATATATGCATGATGTACATTCTTAGAAGTTGCTCCCATTTCAGACTTCTGAAATTTTGATGGATTCATGTCAACCTAAAATAAGATAAAAGTATGGAGTAACTATTAGCTGAAAAAGATAAAAATCAATAAGATGAGTAATAAAATTATTTATCCACACAAAATTTCCCGTGCCAATATTACTGATAAAAGAATTAACTTGTGTTAGAATTAGAAAACACAGACAAAATACAATAAGGCGAAACTTGTAAAACCACATAGAGACCAAGCATATGGCAGTTGCTCCAAGTCCTTACAGAAACTTCTTCACTTGCAATCAGTTCCACATAGGTACCTTGTTATGCTATGTGTATATAAGATATTTTAAGTGTCATCAGTTCTATTCACCTGAATTGTTGATTGTTTATAATATGTATGACTGCAGAATTTGTGGCCAAATTTATGAGCATATACAGGAAAAATTTGGGCAACCGTCAGCAGTTTCACTAAAATTCGTGACTACATGGAGGCTATTATGATTGAGGGAAGGCTCAAATTTTGGCGCAACAAGTCTTCCCCTTTTATCAAACAGTCTACATTCACGATGGGATAACAGTTATTCTTGGGAAACTATGGCAGATTGTAAAGATTATCTTGTGTGAATGTGGCGATGCATACAAACAGAAAGATTGTATGCATCTGGTGCAAGTTTTTTGGGAATTCTTGAGCTGGTCTGTCATTATAGCCTTATAACTTAGAATTCAAGAGCAGAAAACTTTATCTGACCCAAAAGCATTTCACAATAAGTTTCACCTGAAGCAACATCATAGGACTGCTGGAAAGTAACCAATGCAAGTGGAAATGTTCTGTCCTGAAGGAAAGAAGAATGGAATAAAGGGCAGGGGATCTACGGAATTGAATGAGTTCGAAGATATACTATAAGGTCAATGTAGTGTTAAGAATCTGATCCTTCCTATAATGCTAATTAAACTGAAGACTATATCTAAAATACATTCGATTACACATTTTGAACTCCTTAAATCTAACTACTGGTACAATTTATTTTTTAATCAGAAGGAAACATCTTGACAAAGATTAACATTTGTTTTGCTAGGAATAGAGTCACCCATGCTTAGTTTCCCTAGAGTACAGAAAACTTGCACTAGATCCTGGCTCCTCTCAAATATGCAGAGAGCTTTCCCTCATCAAAAAGCTGGCCTGGGCACTTCTAGATATGAAGATCTAGCCTACTTCCTATCTGTTTCTCTTTCATTTCTTCTATTCAATGATAGTACAGATCCTTATCAACCAAGAACCTAGACAATGAGAACACTTTAGGCTAACCAAGTCAAGGATCAAAATCAATTCTGCAACTCTCCCTCCTTCCTGGTAAGATTCTTTCCGCACATATTTAAAATTATTCCAGAAAACAAAAATTGCAATTAAAAGGAATACATAACCAAGAAGCTTATGTGAAATGTGAGATACAAGCATGCAGAATGATCCATCCACTTGGCAACAGCATACACAAAACACAAGTATAGACATGGTTGTTTATAAAGCTAAATTTTTTTCCCAGTATTACATCTCACAGTTCCGCAGCACTCAATAACAGAAAAACAGAAACCAATATTAGTTCCTGTCAAAAAGGGAAAAACTTTATAGCCAACTGCTGATGAAAGAACTTATCTGTGGTTAGAAAAACAAATACAACATACATGATACAACAAGGCTGCACTTGTAAAACCACATAGCCCAACAACATATTCTTTCCAATTTCTTTCAAGAAAGAAAGAGAAGACAATCATTAGCAGCACAAAATGTTCACATTAATAAGATACGATCAAAGATGAATCAATTTTTCCACCTCATAAAAATTAAAGAAATAAAACGAGTACATCAGACTGCAGGGAGTATCCATAATAGTCGTTTACATTTTTATTCCTAGCAAGTCCAAAAAATCCATGAACAGATTCATACTAATTATCAGTTCCAGTTATCCTAGAAAAGCGAGAAGCAAGAGGCCTAAGGAAATAAATATTAACAACATACATGATAAAGGTCAAAAACCTTCATCAGTTCTTTTCCTTTTCATTTGTGTAGAATTATCCAAAATCTCCAAATCGTCATCCTTTTCTTGCAAAATGTCAAAAGTATCACGAGTTACAACTTTTCTTGCAACATGCCAGCCTTTATTTGAAGGATCGTCGATATAAAATACTTGTAATGCTTGGTTAGCTAATACAAATGGCTCATTAGTTTTCAATAATC